ACGGCCTGCCAGCCAATAAGGGCAGGCTCCAAGGCCCCACCCACCCAGGGCAGGGCAGGGCAGGGCACCCCGAGGTGCCCCAGCACCCCATCTCCCTCTGTCACTGCCCTCCACCTGCTTCCCTCGCAGGGGTCTGGTCACCAACGTGGCCGGAGCAGCGGCTCCCAGCCCCTCCCTGGGTCTCAGCTGCTCACAGCTGCGGTGGGGCAAGCTACAGCCGTGCAGGTAACGCTTGGCGTTGTCATGATCGTGGCCCGTACCGGAGGGCCCGGCCTTCCCCACCACGAGAGAGGGGGTTTCTGTGCGTCCGGGAGACGGGCGCCTTTAAGGGTCGCTTGCGTTTACCGCCTTGGTTTACGGACAGCTTTCTCTTGCTTTTAATTTCGACGCTCGGCCGTGGCAATTCATGTGTACGAGCAAACCAGGGCCGCGTTACCCCTTTCCCTTTTTGTAGGTGTGCGGGGGGTGAGAAAAAGAAAGCCGCTGAAGTGAAACTAAGCCCCGGAGAGCTAACGGCTCCCTGGGGCAGGACTGGCGTCGTGCTCCCTCGGCGCTGCTGAGGGGAGAGGCGAAGAGCCAGGGTAGTTAGGAGGAGTTATTTCCGTGACCTGTCTTGGGAGGTGGTTTGGTAGGGTGACGTTAAGGGCTTTGTTAACGGTGTTTTTGTTTCCGTAGCTTCACCTATTTCCTAGCTAATATTTTTCAACAACCGTTGCCTAGTCCCCTGGCCATGCTTGTGATCCGCTGGCTCCGTTTCTTCTTTTAAAACACATAAACTTTATATTTTGCCTTAAACAAGCAGTTCTTATTTTTAACCATCCTCTTACTTTTCTGTTTGTTGGTTTTAAGCTCTCGAAAGAAATGCGAGTTTTAGTGCATCAGTTAGCCGTGCGTTACAGGATCAACTTTCGGCGTGTTGCGTTAACTGTGTCCCAGTTCAACCGCGCTACTTCCTTACTCGTTATCCTCCTCTCGAGCCTTTGCGTGCCCAGGCTGAACCCAGCCCTCCCTCCGCTTGCTGGTTTTTGAACTAGCTGATCGTGAGCAAATACTGTGATGGTTGTTGTCCGTGATGTTTTAAAGTACTACCTCTCTCTTATATGAGTATATAAAATGGGCTTAAAACTTCAGCTGACAGTTTGCCGCTCCTGTAGGTGCCTGTGCAGCCTTGCTGTTAACGGGGGGCCGCCTTGGGGCTTTGCACGTGTCTAAGGAGAGCTAGTGACTCCCGGGGGCAGGCGCTGTCTGCTCTGATTGCTCTAAAACCCAGCAGCCTTGTGCCTCCTGCTCTTGGTTTTGCACTGAAAGCTGTAAGTTGCTTCTGGGGCAAGGTTTTGTTTAAAGATGGCATCAGGTGTGCAAAGCCACGTGCTCTCGTCCAAGCAACAGCGCGTGCGCTGCCCAAACCTCTTGTCCGAGTTGCTCAGCCTCGGCTGACCGCCAGGGATTCTCCTTCCCAGGGCTGTCAAGTTCCTTTCAAAACAGCGGGGAAGGCTTGCCTTTGACGGCTTTCACGCACAGCCAAACCTTTCCATCCACGTTGCATTCACAGCAAGCTTAATGTTTCTGTTACCGCTCTCTATGCCTACCCTGGGCTCAGGCTGGGCCCTGCACAGGGTGAGAGACGCACCATGAAGTCCGACGCGGTTCATCGGTGGATGAGCGCAGGGAGGACCTGGACCAGTCAGCGGGGTTTCGGCTGGCCACGCCAGCTCCTTTCCATCTCTGCCCGGCGACACCGTTGGCATGGAGAAAAGTGTGCGGAGCGGTCTTCAGGCAGCTGCGGCCGGAGGGACGGAGCCTTTCGGCAGCCCTGCAGGACCCAGCGGTGAGTACAGTCGCTCCCCGCACACCGGTGGGTCCCAGCCTGCTTCTCCCAGGCTCGGGGTAGAGGGGCCGCCGTCCCCAGGCTGTGCCAGCACCGTCGGGACTGGCCCGGGGTAAAAGCGGGGCAGAGTCAGTGCGTACAAGACTGTGTCCCCCGAACCCACCCCTGCTGGGTCAGAGACAGGACTCGTGACCCAGGTGCGCTTCACAGGCTTGCTAGCGAGAGCTGCAGGGAGGGTGCTGCTCTCTGAATGGCAGTTGTTCAGCTGCGCTGCCGAACCTGGGCGAAGCTTTTCTGCTGCTTTCCCCACAGAGAGAGCAGGGTTTCTCCTCTCTGGGGTCAGAGATGCTCCTCATTCCTCCAAGGGCCTTGAGACTCGGGGAAGAGCCGTTCGCTCGCTCCCTTCTGCCCTCCCAGCAGCAGTGCAGAGCGGTGCAGTTCAGCTGGTGCCCCGGGTCGCTCCCATCTCCCTCCAAGGCGGTAATGCCCATCTCCAGCGAAACCTGTGAGCAGCTGGGGAAGCTGGCAGGGGGCTGTGCAGTGACAGGGTGTCGGGGAGCAATGTATGTCTTTTGGTTGGAGGGGGCAGCTGCACGATGAACTCCTTCAAAGAAGTGGGGTTTGTCCTCGGTAACCTGGTTTGGCCGCCTCCGGGGAGCCGGTGCGGGCAGCGGGTGCCTCACCCCCCCACCCCCAAAGGGCCCCACTTCGACAGCGCCCTCTGCGTAGCTGGGGACGGCTGGGGGAGCAGGATGGAGACACCTGGCCAGGCTCCTCGTGCCTCCGAGGGCCTTGGTAACTTGGGGAGGGGCTGTTTGCTGCGGGTGCTGGGTGATCCC